TACTATGGTAAGCATGGCGATGGTGATGTTATGAATCCGGAAAATATCAATTCTTTGGAGGAGTTTATCATGAAGGGTACATATCTGCACATCTACGCACTGTAATTTATTTTTGTTTTGTTTGATTCGCTTTGATTCTGTAGGCACCAATGATGTTGGTGTGGATTTGATGATGGCTGATGGTGGGTTTAGCGTTGAAGGACAAGAGGACATTCAGGTATTTCCATCATCGATAAGCTGTTTGTAGCTCTTTTCCTCAACTTTTGTTTTTTGTTCTTTTTTCTCATATTGATTGTATTAATTTCTCAACATTTTTTCTTAAATCAATCTTATCAATCTCATTAGTTGAATCTCGCACACACTAGCTATATTGAGTTTTCATTCTTTTCCAGGAAATTCTTTCAAAACGGCTATATCTGTGCCAGCTATTGGTATCCCTTTGCATTGTGAAGGAAGGTGGTGTATTCTTTTGCAAACTCTTCGATGTATTTACTCCATTTAGGTTAGCCATCTCACATTCTTTTTTATTCATACTTACATTTTCTCTTTTATCTTTTTGCTGCGTCGCATCCAAAGAAATTAATATGTTCTTGTATAAAATAGCACATGTTTTGGTAAAATCCTTTCTTTTTTGCCATACTCACCTTTCCTGATTTTTTGCTCCACTTTGTTCATTTCATACTTGGGAAGCTTTTTCGCTCATCATTGATAACTCTTTTTCTTAGTGCTGGTTTAATATACTTGATGTACGTTGCGTACGAACAAATTACATTGCATAAGCCACACACAAGTCGTCCTGCAAACTCTGAGAGGTGCCTTTTTTTATCTGGCCTCCTTTTTTTATCCAACATCCATTAATCTAGGTATATCATTTGCAAGGGATTGCGAAAGAACTATTCCGATGCTATCCGAGACTATCTTAAACGGTACGCTCATCATTTATTACCACTTTTGAATTCGAAAGAATGACTAGTTTTGTTCAGAGTAAACCTCAAACTAGATGAATTAACCAAGGCAGGTTCATCGCAGGATGTGCACAGCATTGTGCCTCTTGAAACATTACGAAACGATGAGGCCTTTTGTAGTTA